ATCACCTATGAAGTCAAAGTTTACATACCCAACCAGTTCAAGTGAACTGATTCTCTTGCAAAAATCTAACCCAACATGCATAGTACTGTTGAAATACCTAAACATCCACTTTAATGCAACCCAATGTTATATTCCTAGATTTGACATAAACCTACTTAACAATGATATGGCAAACGACAAATCAAATTTAGTGCTTATCATGGCATACATCACAGAACCTATGGCATTTGAGTATGGAATATTTTCTATTTTTAACACTTTAGCTTCTGTTTTAGGATAATGTAGTTTACTAAGGATAAAGTGACTTGTTAAGGGCATGGTAACAGTTTTTGAGCCAACCATTCCAAATAGAAGTCAGTTTTTGTAGTATGGCAATTGGTGAAGTTTTAACCTATTTAACCTCTTGTTTCTATCAATTATCACCCCTAATATATTCTTTGCACAACCTAAGTCTTTCATGTCAAACTCAACACTTAATTTTGCTTTCAAGTCATCTATGTGAGGCTTAAATTTATATATTAATAGCATGTCATCAACATACAAAAGCAGGTATATGGGCATGTTATTAATACAAGCAAAGTAGAAACAATTGTCATACTCACTCCTAGTAAAGCCAATTCCTACTACGAATGAGTCAAATCTTTTATACCACTGCCTAGGGGATTGTTTAAGACCATAAAGAGACTTATGCAATAGGCAAACATATTTAGGTAGGCTTTTATCCTTAAAACCAATAGGCTGACTCATAAAAATCTTTTCTTCTAATTCACCATGCAAAAAGGCAATCTTGACGTCCAATTGTTCTAATTCTAAATCATAATGTACAACAATTGACAACATTAACCTAATAGTTTTAAATTTAACACAGGTGAAAAGATTTTGTTAAAGTCAATACCTGCCCTTTGGGTGAAGCCCTTAGACACAAGTCTGGCTTTGTATCTTGGAGGATCTGATATGTTTATGCCTTCCTTTAACTTGTAGAGCCATTTGCACTCCACCAGCTTCTAGTCAGTTGGCTTTGAGACCAAAGACCAAGTCTTATTCAGCTTCAATGACTCAATTTCTTCCTTCATGGTAGCAAGATTTCTTGTTGTCCTTGGAACTCATTGCTTCTTATAGGAGTCAGGCTCAAACCTATGAGTTTCTACACTAGCAACCAATGCTGTGTAGATCAAGTCTGCATAACTGAATCTGGTAGAAGGTCTGATCTCTCTCCTAACTCTATCTCTTGCCAACTAGTATTGGGCCAGGTTACCATGTTGGGCTTCTTTAATATTTTTGTCACTTCCCCTTCATCATCTTGGTCTTCATTGATTGACAGTGGTTCATCTGCTGGTTCAGTCCCTTCACTTTGATCAAGGCTTGCTGGCTCCACCTAAAACTGAGTTATCTCAGCTTGATCAAAAATTTTCAGAGTTACTTCTTGAATTACCTTCATTGTTGTTAGTAAACTTGCAAAGAAACACATTCTCATTAAAAAATACATCTTGACTGATTATGACTCTAATCCCTTAGGCATCCTTTTCCCATAGCCTATAGCCTTTGGTCCTTTCTTGGTATCCAAGAAATGCACATTTTAGGGACCTAGGCTCCAATTTCCCATCTCAATTGTGTGCATAAGCAGCACACCCAAACACCCTTAAGTGGCTGAGAGTTGGTCTTTTCTCTGACCATCTCTCTTCCAAACACTTAAACCCTATAGAGCTTGAGGGATTCTTATTGATAAGATAGGTAGCAGTTGGTAGGACTTCCCCCCAAATGATTTTTGTCAGTCCAACAGTGAATAAGAGGCATCTCACCTTCTCTAAAAGTATTCTATTCATTCTCTTTGCAACCCCATTTTGTTGTGGGGTTCCCTAAACTATCCTATGCCTTAAGATCTCGTCATTGCTACAGTGTGTGTCAAACTCAAAGTTATAGAACTCCAATCCATTATCAGTCCTAACAGCCTTAACCTTTTTATCTACTTGGTTTTCCACCAAAGTTTTCCAGCCTTTAAACTTGATTAAGGCTTCATCCTTAGTCTTAAGAAGGAAGGTATACTCATACCTTCCTACTATAATCATCCACAGTGTAGAGGAAGTAACTATTCCCTCCATACGACCTACCCCTCTCAAGACCCCAAAGGTCCGCGTACAAATAATCCAAACAATTAACAGCCAGGTGAGTTCCTTTTGGGAAACTCATTATGTGTTGTTTACCGAGGACATAGGTTTCACAAAAACTTAAGTCAGACGCAGAATGATTACCAAAATAACCTTGTTGTCTAAGTGCATTCATGCCATTCTGGCCTAAATGGCCCAATCTCAAGTGTCATTTCTCTAAAACAAACATGTTAGTGAATAAGAGTACAATATTAAAAACATCAGAGTAATATTGACCACATAAAATATACAAGCCATTATTTTCAACACCTTTAAGTATAATATTACCATTTTTACACTTCTATACACCCATTAGAGGTTTTATAGCAACAACCAACTTCATCTAATGTTCCTAATGAGATCAAGTTTCGTTTGAGTTCAGGTATATACCTGACCCTAGTTAACAATACATCTTACCATTATTTAGTCTAATGGTTATATCACCTATGCCCTAGACCTCACAGAAATGGTTATTTCCCATGAACACTGTTTCTTGTTCACCAATTTTAAGTCTTTTGGAACCAGTTTTTGTTCGGACTCATGTGGAACACCCACTCTTTAACACAAGCAATATTAGAGACAGTAAGGGCTTCAGAAATTTCTATGTTACTGTTAGTGCATGCTAGATTACTGTTAGTGCATGCTAGGTTACTCTCAGTACTGACCTATTTCTGTTTTTTAATCCATTCATAACAATTCTTTTTAAGGTGTCCTGGTTTGTTACAAAAGAAGCACTTCCTAGTTCTCCCTTAGGTCTCCCATTTCCCTTACCTTTCTTTCTGGTTTTATAGCCTAGATTGCTTTGAGAACTTTTTCCAGCTTCCTTACCAAACCAACCAAAATCTATCCTACGTTTTACAAACAGATTATTACCATTCCTTTTTTGAATCTGCAATTCTAGTTCCCTAGATTTTAACCCATAAACTATCAAGACCACACTGGGGATAGTCCCACTATACTATGACACATTCTTTACTACTAAATACTCCACAGGCAAAGAATTTAACAGAATCATAGCAAGACTAGAATCTCCTAGTTCTTGGTCAGAACCTTTCAGTGTTAGGGTCATCTTTAGAAACTCATCTAAGTTTTCATCTAAAGACTTAGCTAAATCCATTTTATACGAAAACAAGGCACCTTTTAAAAAAGCCAAATTAGGAGCTAACTAAAGAACATATAAAGATTCGAGTTTACCCTAGAGAGCGATTGGAGATTCCAAACCATCTACCTTTCACAGTACGTTGTCAGATAAGTTCATGACGATCAAATTATAAGCTTTTTCGTCTACCTCTGCCTTCTTCTTCAGCTTTTCTTCGGACCATTTAGTGGTGTCCTTCTCCATAGTAATATCCACCTTATTGTGGGATAGAAGAGCCTTCATCTTCTTTTTCCAGGTATTGTAGTCAATCTTCCCATTGTACTAGGAGATTTCCATGCACGTCGTACTCATGATTTGGGTTTAGTAGCAAACCCTAAAAAGTCAAGATTGAATTTTTGGACTCGACCCTTAGAGATTGAAATTGATCTCTAACTTCCAAGAATTTTTGGAATTCTTGTTGATTTAGAAACCCTAAGACTCTAGAAACTATCAAATTAAAAGACCCCCAATTTAACAAACCCTAGAAAATTTCCCAAATCAAGAAACCCTAAAAGAAAATTCGAGGAACCCTAAAAAACTCATCTTTGATACCACTGTTGTAAATCGAGTCTACCAAATCAAACCTTAATATTAACAAACAACCACAAATCAAAGCAAGAATAACAACACACGATCTTTTTACAGTGGTTCACGTGTTCAAGATTGAACAAGCTACGTCCACGTTGAGCTCCAGAATATGGAGGCTCGCTGCATTATTATTACCAAAGAATCTCAAAGTACAAACTCAATCACACACGCTCACTCTCAAACACCTCAATCTTTCTACCCTTATCAATGTAAATCTACAACTTTTTAGAGAAACCTATTCCTACTTCTCTACCCTTGAAAGATTCAAAACTTTCAATTGGATTTACAATCAGATTTACACAAGAGATCAGAAAAATTAAGAACCCTAGCAGAGAGAATGTAATCGCAAAAATACAAAGATTTAACTGTGCAAATTTGGGCGAAACAACTGCTTTTATACCGTTGACCGTCAAGGGTGATTTCAACCATTGGATTAGTAGCAGATCAAGGGCCAGGATTGCAAAGATGATAACTCAAAAAGGCAGCATGTTCTAAAGCTAAAAACGACAACGTTGTGGGCTTCATATATTAACAAAAACCATGTGATGCAATGAAGAACAAATATTTAGGTGGTCGGCATAATTGATAATGCTTAAAAACATGGTGGTCCACTACAGGGCACCATTTTGGTTTCTTGCAAGTGGGTTGTACTTTGGGACAGCTGAAAATCATCAAAAGCATTGATTATTGATCAGGATATAAGAAGATGAAAATTTCCTTGAAGTAATCACTTTTGATCTACAATCATACGCGATAGGTAAACCTACGTGTTCGGTCCAAGATGCTAGTAATCTGCCTCACAGATTTTCTGTGACTCAGATTTCCCATTGGAGAATCAAATTTCTATCAACAAAAATTAATTGATTTCTACTATGTTAAATCTTCTACCAGAAAGTTTCTGCTCATAGGTGTAGTTAATGCAGACAGCATGTGGACTCAGGACTTGACTTATGCATGTTTTTATCTAGAGGCAGCGAAATAATGTTGAAGAATAATCATATGTATTACAAATTTACAGTCGGATCAAACTTCATAAGTGTCGCCGATCATGGAGTACAAAAACTGCTGTCTACACGAGACATTTTATACATACAATTTGTATAAAGTTTTACAAAGATGTCTGATTTTACTCAGTAACCCCAAACAAGTGCTTGCTGGTTTGAATGCTCCTGGTAGAAAAGAGATGGTGATATGCAGCAAGCAGTAACAAAAGACATCAGCAAAGTGATTTCTAGATCTTTCTCTGCACCACGTTCAATTAACATAACTATGTACTCCATAAAGGAGGCATCACATGGCACTATGATAGGCCCATCAATCTGCAATCCAAACTCCTCTTGAGAAAGTTTTAATAGTTCTCTGAAAATCTTGTTATTAAGATATTCCAAGGGAATCACAAAGCGTTTCTGATCAGAAGTGTAGACAACAAAATGGCCCTTATGAGTAGGCAAAGATGCCGTACAACCATCACAGACTTCAATTCTAGGCAGAGAAATTCGCTTCCTTTTGATGGCAGCAAAATTTTGCCACTTCCTTTCCATCTTGGAGAGCTTCTTGGAACAAATCATGCTAGACATAATTCAGAGGGAGCCAATGGAAACAGGATTTTTTCGCGAGGTGGAGTGAAAACGGTTGAGGCATTAGTTAGTTATATAACAGAGTGGCCTGAAGACGCTTCCACTTGTTGTAGCTTTTTACAAGAAAAAACTTCAACTGTATTATATGGTGAAAACAACTGTAATTTTGTCCTGCTATCGCCTTGGAAATCTTGAACAAAGTTGAATGGCAGCCCATAGAAATTTTTCCTCACCAGTTTGGCCTAATGACATTTCCAAAGACCAGGTATCTTAGCAATTCACCAAGTGCAAAATTGTACTGAACAATGAACGCAAAGAAACAAACCAAGTCAATAACAGAATCACTAAGTCACTCTATAAACAAAGTACCCATTTCCTTTAAAAAGACAAAACCCCTCAAATATAACTACCTCGGGACTAAAATATTACAAATTAGAGCATTGTACGGTCCAGTGTATTATTCCTGTGTTTTGCTTGCAAACAAACAGAAAGGCAAGCCTCCAAGAATCTAATTAACATTTTCAAAGACTTGGCAGCTTAGCAATCCCCCAGGCGCAAATGTGCTGAACACAAAGGAACAAAGAAAATCAATAACAGAACCACTAAGTTACAACATAAATCAAAGTACCCATGTTTGTCCTTTAAAAAGACAAAACACCTAGCTAAATATAACTACGAGGACAAGTATACTACAATTTAGAGCATTGAACCTAAGAGTAAGGTTTATGATATTTTTCTCCCTTGCCGGTAACTAACTGAAAGGTCAGTCTCCAAAGATACTTTAATTAACTTTTAGACAAGTGACTAAATAACTGAAGCATATTTATTGGGGATTAAGGTTATGTTTTGCTTAGGATTGAATGAACGACGGATATGAATCTTAATTTTAATCCCTTGTTTGGTTCATAGGAGTTGCATAAGAAATAAGAATCCTATTCCTTAAGAAAGGGTGTAGTGTTTAGGAGAAATGCCATCCATTACTAGTAATGGATGGCTAAAATATCTAATTTACCCAGATCTTTAAATTGTGATTTTCCATTTTACAATAAATCAATTTATTTAAATTTAAATTACTTTATAAAATTCAATAATTATTTTATTACAATATTAGTGATTAAATATTTCAGTATTTCCAAAAACAATTCTAAATTTGTAAAATTTTTAAACCGGTCAACATTGATCAAATTCACCAGACGGTGAATTTATGTCACGTCACTAGCGTCATTGCAAGCGCATGAGCAATCACCAACTAGCAATTTGCCTATCTAGGCATATTTCAACCGCCAAAATCTAGCTTTGTGATGAAAGGCCATCATGCGTGATGTCACACCACCAATTTTTGACAGCCAAAATTTGCCCAAACCGGCAGATCGATCGCTTTTGGTTCTCCACGCACCGATGATCGATGGCTTTTAAAATATTCTTAATTTTTTAATTAAAGAAATAAAAAATTATATTTATTAAATAAAATAAATTAAGGGAATTTTAGTCCAAAAGCAACAAATTGTTTTCCATTCCATCAATATTCGATTACAAGCAAACAAAGTAATCTCATTCTATTCATTTATAATACTTTCATATTTTATTGATTTTCATTTATGATACTTTCATTCCATCAATTTCTAATCCATAAACCAAACATCGCCTAAGTTTAACATAAGGAATCTTTTTAGTTCCCCATGCAGCTTTCCAAGCTATTAACACATTAATTTGCAGTGCCATTCTTTGAAGTTTTGTGCACTCTTTTCAGTATTATTGGGTAGGTATGTGTCCATACCTACCAATGATAATTGCTTCAAACTCATGTGGAAATCTTATAACAAGTACAAGATACCATCACATATGTAGGATTTTGCTGCTAGGCAGCTTCAGTAAGATCATCTTCAAGTCCAATTTGCTTTTTCTCTTTTTTTTTTAACTATTATCAGATACTCTCAGAATACCAACAAAAAAATGGTCATAGTATTAGTATATACACATCAGGAAACTTTAGAAACCATAGAACCAAAGTTTTCATTTAATATTTACAAAAAAAAAAAAGAATACATTACATCAAATGTATACAAGTCTAAGAGGGTCATTGTTATCACTGTTTCTTCAATAGCTTAAAATAAGTGCTTGTTGATGGTTGTGTCCTAGAGCAAGAGAAGCCAAAGCTGAGCAATTATATGTCGCCAGGGAAGTTAGCAGAGCCTTCTCTAGACTCTCTGGTATTTGTCCTCTGAGCAATGACATGACATACTCCAACAAGGTACTATCACAAGTCAATGTGATCGGTCCATTGGTAGGAAGTCCAAATTCCTCCCCGGACATTCTTAAGAGCTCACTAAAGACACTTTTCTGAGAAATTCCAAGGGAATTGAGAACCGTATATCATCAGTTGTATACACAACAAAATGGCCTTTATTAGCAATTGATAAGGACTGGCCAGCATCACTTTTTGGAAGTTGGTTTCTCCCGNATATGTCGCCAGGGAAGTTAGCAGAGCCTTCTCTAGACTCTCTGGTATTTGTCCTCTGAGCAATGAGATGACATACTCCAACAAGGTACTATCACAAGTCAATGTGATCGGTCCATTGGTAGGAAGTCCAAATTCCTCCCCGGACATTCTTAAGAGCTCACTAAAGACACTTTTCTGAGAAATTCCAAGGGAATTGAGAACCGTATATCATCAGTTGTATACACAACAAAATGGCCTTTATTAGCAATTGATAAGGACTGGCCAGCATCACTTTTTGGAAGTTGGTTTCTCCCGCGCTTCATTGCAGCCATTTTTTGCCACATTCTGGCTAATTCGATGAGCCTCTTTGAGTTAATCATTATTATAGATGGTATATTTTGAACAACTAGGTTTAGAAGTTTTAAAGAAGATATTTCTTGGTAAGGCTGTGCATGCAGAAGGCAATAGCAATTTGCTCTTATATATAGATGAGGAAAGACAGCACCATAACAATATTGTTTCTTTGTGTTGGGTTGATAGGATGTACCACCATGAGATCATCGAAGCCAAAAGATGCTAGGACTTGTGATCTTGTTTGGTGTTTGATAAGAATCAAATCTGTAGGGTAGGCCATAGTCACTTGTTAGGTATAAATTTGTCTTCTTATGCCGGCAGGGCTGTACTTAAACAGTTTAGGCAACTTAAAACTATGTGAAAATGAGATATAACTACTGCATAATATCTTAGAAAGATAACAAAAACTCCATTTGGTTAAACACAGAAATGAAATATACTATCATGTTAATAATTTTCAAACGAATCTTTGGTTTGCATGTGGTAGTTATATAGGAATTGATGTTTGTTTGTGTCCATGATTGCATGTGCTTGGAAATTTTACATGTCATAGGGAGCACAGTTTTCTGTCTTGTAGATTAAGGACAAAGCAGGCCCTAAACTCAAATATCAGAGAAGAGGATCTATATTCAATGAAGGATTAAAAACTAATTAAGATTAACAAAGACATTGATATTGACTATGATGATGTATAATTTCTTATGTCTGTTAGAATTTGAGGTGGGCTTGACTCCTCACCCAATAAGGTCTTGTTCAATGGGAGGATTACCCCCTCTTATAACTCAATAGGCTTGAGTGTGCCTAGTCGATGTGAGACTTTAACACTCCCTCTTACAGTCAAAACCATATGTTGGGTCATGCCTGTTATTGGAGATAGTTGCTGGCTCTAACTCCTCACTCGCTGGTCAAGCGCTCAGCTCAACTGAACCTGGGCTTTGGTACCATGTTAAAATTTTAGGTGGGTCTGACTCCTAACCCAATAAGGTCTTGTTGAATGGGAGAATTACCCCATCTTATAACCCAATAGGCTTGAGCATGCCTAGTATGTCAAAGGTTTGGTCCAATAATAAAATTCTCATTGTGACAGTTAAACTAACAAGAATATTATAGTTCTTCTCTAAAGATAACATTGGTTTGCCTCAAGAGTAACTAATTATGGAGGAACTTTAGGGATTTAATAATAATACATAAAGTATCTTTTTACAGTATTGTAAAATTGTATACAAAGATTCAGCTAAACTAAGATCTGCTTTAGAAGGCGCAAACTAGTGAATGTTGGGTACTTTGCTCCTGATTGTGGTATGAAGACCATAAACAGCGACCGGTACTTAAGGACGTAAGCAATGCCTTATCTACATATTTTGACATACACCTATGGATCAATGAGATTGCATAGTCCATGAAAACTGCATCACAAGGCAATGTGATAGGCCCGCACCAGGAAGTCCAAACTCATCTTCTGCTATTTTAAAGAGTTCTCGAATGATGTTGTTTTTAAGATATTTTAAGGGAATAACAAAGCGCTTCTGGTCTGCAGTGTATATAACAAAATGACCCTTCTCAGCCATTGAAGATGGGCTGCAAACCTCTGGTTTGGCAACCCCAGATGCTGTTGGCAATGAGATTCTTTTTCGCTTGCTTGCAGCCAGGTTCTGCCACTTCTTTGCCAATTTGATAAGCTTCTTTGGACTAATCATGTTTCTTGTTGACTAGAGAAAAAAGATCTTATAGTTAGGGAAGAGAAATGTGGTTGGATCTCAAGAACACTGAAATGTGTGGGTTTGCTTGGTGGAAGGCTATGGAAATGGATTGGTTATATAGTCATCAGGTTAAGAACAACCCTTAATGTTGCTTCCCTGTGTGTAGGACTGGAAGCACAGCATGTGATAGCACCCTGAATCTGCTATTTAGGCTGTTGGACTTGTTTGGTAATCTAAAGATCAGCACATCAAGTGGGTCTAAACCTAGTGATGGCTCAAAATTCATGACCAGTCTCAACCCAAGAATTTCATTGAATTTGTGATTTTGGAATTGTATTAATTGAAACAAACGAACCAGGCCGTTAATTCAACCCAAATGCTGTGAAACTGCCTAACAGAAACCCTAATTAAATGAGATTCTGACATCTCAGTAGATATCAAATTAATAGTAACGAAATTCAATGTTCCTATTGTGTTAATCTCAACCAGCAAGTTTTTGCCAATAGGTCCAGCCAGTGGACTCAGCTTGGGACTTATGTATGTCATTTCAAAACAGCATGTAGATGCCAGATTTACATTTTACAAACTTCAAAGTGTAGCTAATCATGGAATAAAAGAAACTCTCTCTCTGTAATTCACAAAAAAAGCTGGTTTATTCATAGAATATTTAATTATTCAAAAAGAAATTTAATTTGTTCAACAACTGCAAACAATTACTTGTTGGTTGTTTGCTTTCCTGGAAAGAGACAGCGATGTTCAGCAACTGTAGCAATGACATGAGCAAAGCTTTTTCTACATGTTCGGCTGCACCTTGTCAATTAACATGACAATGTAACCACAAAAAATGCATCACAAGGCAAATAATAGGTCCATCAATTCGCAACCCAAACTGCTCTGCAGACAATCTCAATAATCTCTAAAAATCTTCTTTTGAAGATAGCCATGGATCAAGAAGCGTTTATGATCAGTATGTAGACAAAGAAGACCCTTGTGAGCAAGCAAAGGTGTGCTATTATACATGCCTTCATTTCTGATAGCGAAATTATTCCTTTTGATTGCAGCAAAAATTTTGCCATGTCCTGGGCATCTTGAACAGTTTCTTGGAACTGACCATGACGAAAATGTAAAATTGGAGGCTGTTTTTTTGAGCTAAGTGACTCACAAATGGTGGTGGGTTCTTTTATATAACATTAAGGCCTAAAGGCACTTCATTTGTTGTAGCTTTTTACAAGAAATCCCTTCAACCCCATTATCTTCTCTTGGACCGAAAACAAAAAGTAGTTTTGTCTGGTTTTCACCATCCAAGTAATTCACCAAGTACAGAATATAATACGGATCAACAGAAGAAACAAACAAGGAACAAGAAATACGGTTACGTAAATTTCCAAGCCTTAAAGATTTAACCCCAAAACGGCTCCTGGAATACACATTAAGTGTTAAGAATCAATCAAACTCAACCTAACCTGTTCCTTTATCAAACACGACCAGCAAACACTAAAGAAACAACACAAACAATAACGAATCAAGAACCAAGAACACAACCAATTTTTACCGTGGTTCGTTTATACCAAAGGAATAAACTACGTCCACGTTGAGCTCCAAGTAAAATGGAGGCTCACTGCACTATAAGTATCAATCCAATTACAGATTACAACTCAATCAAGAACAGCCACTCAAATCTCGCAATCACCCAACGTTCAATCACCCGTAATCTACTCTCAAAGACAACTAATACAAGTGTCTTACCCAAAAGAATCTAACACTTCTTCTACCCACAATTTAACTGATAAATTGCAACAGATTACACAAATTGAAGATTAGCCAAACTAAGAAAAAAACCCTAGAAGAGATGAAAAACGCGATAGAAAGCGTGTATGCTGCTGTTCGTTTCTGTGTAACTTCAGCTTTAAATAGGTTGACCTCAAGGCTTCATTTGCACCGTTGGATTAGACTGAAACCAAAGGCTGAGATCTATCACTTAATAAAACTTCAAAACGACAGCGTATTGCTGACTCCAACACGACACCGTTTAAAGCTTCACTCAACATTAAGTTTTGTCAAGTATTAAATGACAGAAGCATATTTGTTTGGAGTTTTAAATTCAACATAAGACTGTCTATAGATATTTCTGCTGCAAGTAATGTTACAGTTATCGATGGGTGTGTACCGAATTTGTACACCAAATAACATAATCAAATCTTGACCGTTGATCTATTATAAGTTAATATTAATCAACGGTTAGAATTTTATCACGTCATTCGGTACATAAATTCGGTGTAAACTTTTCGGTAACTCTATCATTTTCCTTCTGCTGTAGCTTCCTAATAATAAGTAACACTACACTCACTAACACTTCTCACTAACTTTCTCTTACTAACGTCACGTGTCAGTTTACAATTCATCAGTTCATATGGGTCCTACCTATCCAATAATGGATCCCACCTAATCAAGCCAATCACAAACTCTTACATGATGTTAGTGAGAGAGGTTAGTGAGGTTAGTATTATTGCCTTATAATATAGGCACTACATTACGTTGTCTTCTTGTAACATTATTTTCAGCATACTATTGAAGATATTCCTAAATTTTTATTACAAAAGGACCCCTTTTCTCCATAGTATTGAGGATATTGCTTTCTTTTTATAAAATAAAAAATAAAAACATTTTCTGCAAACTGGTGAAGATATTGCTTTATTTTTATTACAAAAAGACCCATTTTCTGCATACTATTGAAGATATTGCTTTATTTTTATTACAAAAAGACCCACTTGATGAGGTTTTTGGCATGCATGAGTTGCTTTGAGCTATAGTTTTTGTTATTAAGAATTTTTCCTAAGTTTACTATTATACAATGCTTTTTTCTTAAGGGCCCAAGAATTGAATGAACTAATGGACTAAGTTGAGATCGAGAGATGATATTTAGTTGGTCTACGGTAGTAAAACTATAGGTTGAGCGAACGCTAGAGATAGGTTACCGCGACTTGTGAGATTCAGTAAAACCATAGAGCGTAATGATCTTCAATTGCTTAAATCTGATAGAGATATTCGGGTTAGTAATTAGGAGTAATTTATAATTGTTCAAGAGAAATTTATTGGAAATTTAGGGAGTTTGAGATATAGGAAGAGTTTAATAAATATATATAGTGATCGATACATATGATAAGAGTTGGTGTGAAATCTATGCCCTAGGTCTAGTCATCTTGTTTTAACCCAAAGATTATTTCAATTGTTCTCTTTTCAATTCTCTTTTTAATTCCAATTGTTAATTTTATTTAATTTAGGTTTTCCTTGATACAATTTGGATTGATCAATAGTAATAGGATAGTTTAATTGGAATTGATAATAGTAATTCCTTAATTTCGATATGTATTTATACACTTTATTACTTGCACGATTTGTATACTTGGGAAAATCACAACATGGGACTAAACACTCCCCTTACGGTCAAACCCATATGTGTGTTATGCCTGTTATTGGAGGTATTGTCGGTTCTAACTCTCACCCGGTCAACACTCAGCTCAACGAACCTGGGCTCTGATATCATAATAGAATTTGAGGTGGGTCTGACTCCTCACCCAATAAGGCCTTGTTAAATTAGAGGATTACCCCCTTTTTAAACCAATAGGCTTAAGCGTGCTTATCGGTGTGGGACTTCAAAGTTATCAGTTTCTTCAATAGCTTAAAAAAAGTGCTGTGTGATGGTTGTGTCCTAGAGCAAGAGAGCCAATGCTGAGCAATGATTTGTCGTTAGGGAAGTTAGAGAGCCTTCTCTAGACTCTCTGGTATTTGTCCTCTGAGAGCATGACATGAAATACTCCAACAATGTACTATCACAAGTCAATGTGATCGGTCCATTGGTGGGAAGTCCAAATTCCTCCCCGGACATTCTTAAGAGCTCCCTAAAGACACTTTTGCTGAGAAATTCCAAGGAAATTGAGAACCGTATATCATCAGTTGTATACACAACAAAGGGCCTTTTATTAGCAATTGATAAGGACAGGCCAGCATCACTTTTTGGAAGTTGGTTTCTCCCGCGCTTCATTGCAGCCATTTTTGCCACTTTCTGGCTAATTCAAGAGCCTCTTGAGTTGATCTTATTATAGATGGTATATTTTGAACAACTAGGTTTAGAAGCTTTAAAGAAGATATTACTTGTATAGGCTGTGCATCCAGAAGGCAATAGCATTTTGCTCATATATAGATGAGGAAAGACAGCACCATAACAATATTGTTCTTGTGTTGGGGTGATAGGTTGTACCACCATGAGATCATCGAAGCCAAGAGATGGCACTATCATGTTAATATTTTCAAACGAATCTTTGCTTTGCATGTGGTAGTTATTTAGGAATTGATGTTGTTTGTGTCCATAATTACATGTGCTTGGAAATTTTACATGTCATAGGGAGCACAGTTTTCAGCCTTGTGGATTAAGGACAAAGCAGGCCCTAAACTCAAATATCAGAGAAGAGGATCATATTAAATGAAGGATTAAAAACTAATAAGATTAACAAAGACATCGATATTGACTATGATGATTTATAATTTCTTATGTCAAAGGTTTGGTCCATTAATGGAATTCATTGACAGTTAAAACTAACAAGAATATTAGTTCTTCTCTAAAGATAACACTGGTTTGCCTCAAGAGTAATCAATTATGGAGGAACCTTAGGGATTTAATAATAATGCATAAAGTATCTTTTTACAGTATGTAAATGTATACAAAGATTCAACTAAATAGATCTGCTTTCGAAGGCGCAAACTAGTGATTGTTGGGTACTTTGCTCCTGATTGTGGTTGAAGACCATAAACAGCGACCCGTACTTAAGGACGTGAGCAATGCCTTCTCTACATCTTGCCATGCGCCTATGGATCAATGAGATTGCATACTCCATGAAAAATGCATCACAAGGCAATGTGATAGGCCCGGCACCAGAAGTCCAAACTCATCTCTGCTATTTTAAAGAGTGCTCGAATGATGTTGTTTTAAGAATTTCAAGGGAATAACAAAGCGCCTGGTCTGCAGTGATA